CGCCAGTCACGGCGTCCGAAAGAGCACCGCGTCCGGCGACGAGCGGCCCGCGTACGAGTACGCGTACATTCACGCCGGCATAGCTCTGATCACTTTGGGCTGCGCGGCTATGGTGGTCAGCATAGTGCTCAGCATTTTCGCCGCCAGCAGTAAGCGCAAGATGGACGACGCCGGGGGAGACGACCGCGAGGCAAACAGGAGCACCCGTACCGTGTTCGCGTGTCTCATCATGATGAACGTGGAACTGTTCATGTCGGTGATCGCGGGTTGCATGGAGCTGCTGTACAGGCCGCTGATGAAAGACGAGCACAGGCTGCACAACATGGAGTGCGCGATCGCCGTGTTCAACATAGTCATCTACATAATGTACGTCGTCACCATGGCGCTCACGGCGAGCGTGCTCAAGGAGAAGCGAGACGAAGTTCGCGAGAGGCCACGAAGTTATCATGTCGCCGCCCTCTTCTCGGGACAGTCGCATCCACTATACCGCGAGCGGCGGAAACCCCTACTATTCTCAGTCCGGCGGGTTCATGTGAAGGGGAGAGACGAAGGCGGGACGCGAGGGAGAGGGAATCAACCGTCATCGGCAAGCCATTGAGTCCGCCAATGTTTTTTGTCATTATGACCATTTATGTGTTAACATCGAATGCTAATAATAAATCAATGAGACAACTTAACGGAATGCCTTTATTGTGACGAACATACATTCATAGGAAAGGCTATTGTATTGTTTTTAGCAGATTGACAACTTTATTATTGTGAACGTATTTTATGAGATAAGCATGTTGTTCCTGCATCGATGTATTGTGAGTATGATTGTTGTAGTGGAATGCAAATAAAGAATAAAACAATTGAGGGTAATCACAGTCATTGTCCTGGAACACTGCGCGATAGTATCGCGCGACATCTGGGACACTCATGGACCTTATCCAAGCAATGAACCGCGAGAAACGGCCACATACAGCACGCCAGTAGACATCTAGTGACACAAAGAATAGGATAACAATCAACGGCAATGTTGGGCACGCCACAGCTACAATAAGATGCTCAACTTACCCCGAAAGTAGCAGCAAGACGAAGAGGCTCGCGGTCCTTGATCCTATTCGTCTTTTTATCACTGAATGCGTAAAACTCCGGCAGGTGGGACAAAAGACTGTGAATGAGCACCGACGACAGTTAGGCCAGGAAGGTTAGAAGTCACAGTAGAAACGTGTCAATCTATACATACCCAGATCTTCATCAAGATCAAAATCCAAGTCGCCGGGAAGCGCCATTACGCTGGTCGCGCTGT